ATAAAAAATAATAATAATATTTTTTCTATAACGCTAGATATCTTAAATTACAAAAATATATAATATCTTTCCCGAAAAGTTAATATTTAATTTTTGAGACATTGGATTAAATGATAACAAATATATAATATGTTTCCTCTAGAACCAATCTATTTGTACTATTCATTCTCCATTCAGCAACTTGATAATATGCCGCAATTTAACAGCCTTTCGTTTAACGTCTTTAAACTGCATTTTATTTTTATTTATTTATTTATTTATTTATTTTTTTTTTTAATTCAAAAGATAAACAAGTCTTTAGGCTGAACATTTAACTTAAGTTCAAGGTGTTCGTCTTGCAGTTAAAAGTTATTTAGCTACCTATATTTAAGCAAAACATTGCGCTTAACTACAACAGAATTTTTTAGAAAACAAAGACCAAACGAGAGAGAGTTTGTCTCTGCTTTGCTTGAAGATAAATGGGTTAGTTAGAGTTTTTTTTTTTTTATTATAATAATACACTAAATTCCCATAGTCTAAAGCATAATAATAGACAAATATAGATTTCTAAACATATCTATATAATATATCCCACACTTTCATTGACTCCATCAACTTAGCTGTTTAATAATGCTTCTAATTTTATATTCTACTCAGATTTAGCTGCCATAAAACGTGCATTTTCCAGCACTGAAATAACTACATAGCTGCCATAAACAATATGGTGCTTTTCCCTCCTTCTTGGCTTCTTGTTGGTTTCTTAAAGATTGTCAATCTAAAGAAACTTTCAGCCACATTAAACGGATATGAAAAAAGGAAAACAAAAACTTGCTTGGCGCTCTCTTAATTTATAAAGCAACCCTCCGTGCGGCATGCCACATCGAGTGGCGTATTGTCTTGGCAGCTGCCACGCCCGCGGCCGCTGCCACTGCCGCCCCTTGGAATCGCTTCATCTGATCTGTGTTTTTGTTGACATTTCGCGCGCATTTTATTTATATGCACTTTGCGAGCGACGCCAGATAATTGATTTTGTATCTAAAATACTTTGTCGCATCTCTCTGTCTCTCTCCCTCTCTCCCTTTCTTTCCCTCGCCGGGTGACAGGTCACGGAGGGCAGCATTGCCGAGGAGGCGGGCCTGCGCGTCGAGGATGTGATTGTGCGTATCAATGATACGGCTGCCACGCCCCTCACGCACGACGAGGCCCATCGCCTAATCATGAGCAGCGGAAGCGTGTTTTATTTCGGCGTGCATCGGTAAGTCGAACCATTTGTTCCGTTACAGCCATTTGTCATAGGCCTAGCCCCCACAGCGAACGAGAGGAGGAGGAGGTCTATGCGGGTCCGAAGCGCTTCCCAGTGAGCGCCAGTTCGTTGACCATGTCGCCAACCGCAGTCGCATCCGCGTCCGCATCCGCAACCACCTCGCCTTTGCCGTCGCTAACGGAAGCCACAAAAGCGTTCACGCCGGAACAGGAACAGGTCGAGGTTGCGCAACTGGAGGCGAATGTGGAGCTGGAATGTCGCAGCGCTGTGACGGAAATGCATTCGCATGCCAACCAGGACAGCCAGAACAACCAGGCGGAGCAGCAGAACCAGACGGACCAGCCGAACCAGACGGAGGCGTCGGCCAGCGTCGACCAGCAGGCAACGAATGGTAGCCTTTATTTGCCCGATTTGCCCGATCGGCCGTGCTCGGCGATGTCAGAGCAGGCGGAAATTAAGCTGGTGGAGGAGGAAATTGCTGCAGTGCTGTCCGGCGAGTCGGAGGTGCTCAAGGAGCAAAATGTGCTGGGGTGCGTTGACAGACAGGCAGACATGGATGCTCTTGCGAGCCTTAACCTGTTTCTATCTCATAGCGTTAATTTCTACAGAATCTTTCCCAAGCCGGGCGTCTGCATGAGCAGCGACGTGCTGCGCTCCCTCAACGAGGAGGTGACCAAGACCAAGCTGGAGAAGGAGAAGGAGAATCGCAAGTGGTCCACGTTCCTGCAGCGACCGGACCGACCCGTGCCCAAGAGCAAGCAGCAGCTGGAGGCGGAGCGCCGGGCGGCCAATGCCTACAAGGTGAAGATTGTGAAGTCGGCGCCACGCGACAAGTCGCCCATGGTGAGTAGCGTTCCATGCAAAGCACATAGCAAAGAGACACTGAACAGGCCGCAACTTAAGCCTGTGACAGCCGGAAGCCAAGCCAGCCCCAAAGGAAGCCACCCCACCACAACAGGAGCCGGAGCCGGAGCCGGAGCCGGTGGCAGAGCAGGAGCAGGTTGACCCCGTGGATGAGGAGCCATTGCCCACGGACAGCGAGGTCCCGAATTTGGAACAATTGCCAGACAATGGCAACAACGCGACGCCCGAGGAGACGGATGGCGAGCAGTTAGAGAAAACGGATGCGTCCAAAGAGGAGCCCGGACAGCAGACGGCCGACGAGCAACAAACAGCAATTGAGCCTAACGAAGGGGAGGGTCAACAGGACGTGTCAGAGGGTGAGGCCGGGGGCAGCGGCGAGGACAGCGGTGAGGCAACTCCGGCCAAAACCGATGAGGAGCTGGCACTGGAAAAACAACTGGCCGATGTGCAAAAACAGCTCGCAGCGCTGTCCTCGCTGCCGTCCACCATACAATCGACCCTGGATGCGGTGACCAAGCAGCTGGCCGAGCTGCTGCCCACATTTAAGCTGCAGCAGCAGCAACAGCAGCAGCGGGACGAGGAGCAGCCGCATGGCCAGCACGAAGGTACTGGCTGAAAAGTTATGGCCGAGGTTACAGTAATTAAATTTTTCTAATGGCACATTTTGCATACTTCCCCAACTACGCACACACACACACCAACACACACAGGCATGTCGAGCTGTGCGGCCAACAAGGAGCAGCAGCAGCAGCAGCAGCAGGAGGAAGAGGAGCAGCAGGTGCAGCCGGAAGAGACAGCACCTGAAAATAATGAGGATAAATGCGATGCCAATGACCGAGAAGTGGCAGAAATTTCGCTCTCGAATGGCGACAATCGCCAACTGGAGGAGCAGCAGCAGCAGCAGGAGCAGCAGCTCAACGAGGAGCTCAGCTTCAAGAAGCAAAAGGTGAGCGTGAAAACTAAAGTAAAGACTGAAGCATAGAGTATATGTAGGCTATATATAATAAGTATATAGAGAGCAGTGTTTATATACTTTAATGTAATACATAACATATGAAACTATCCGTCCGTCCGTCGTTCGTTCAGCTGGCTCCTCCATAGACACCTTTTCACATGGCTGCAAACTATGCCAGCAGCTCTTCATTATAAATCGAATTAAACGCTTGGGATTTCAGGCCGATTCGATGTTCCTGCATAACTCAATCTAGAGCTTAGAAAATTTTCAAAGTTTCCCAACAAATGTCGCTAAGACTTTGTTTGGCCTTGAGTTGGTCTTAAATTGTTTGCCTTTTCGGTCTGTTTTTCTTTACCTCATCTTTGTTTCATCTAGTTGCTGGCCAGCTGTGCCTCATCCTTTTGCTTCTTCTTACTTGTTGTCACTGGACTTTTTCCTGGCCATTTCCCGCGCCCAACTCCACAAATCAAATTAACTAAAATGCCTTTTGGTTTTTGTCTTTTTCTACTTGCAGCATAATGTGCGCTTCCAAGTGTAGTTAGCTTAGTTAGCTTAAATCGAGTTTAAATTTTGATAAATTGCCACCGCATACACACTCACATATATATGTATAGAGTATATAGTATATATGTAGTGTATGTAGACATATCAACTGCCAGTTAAATAAATGAGTTCCAAGAGCAAATCGAATCAGAGCCTGAGTCGCAGCGCCGGGGCAGAAAAAGGCAGAAACCAAAGACAATTAGTAGGCAGCGTGACAGCCAAACAAACAAAAAAAAAAAAAAAGAAATTGAAAAAAGAAGAGAAATGAAAAGAAAAGAAAGAAAGGAATGAAAAACCATGAAGAAAAACCAACGCATATAACCCGAAACGACTGCAAATTTGCACTACCTCAACTCCCCTATGTCTCTTTCACTCACTCTCACTCTCTCTCTCTCTCTCTCTCTCTCTCTCCTACTCTATAAATGAAAATCTCTTAACATCTTCTTTGTATTCCTTTGGGCTGCTGCGTTGCGTTGCCTCGCCTGGCGCGCGCTCTCTCTCTCTCCCTCTCTCTCTCTCTCCGTGCGTGTGTGTGTGTGTGTGGGGCATGTTTTTTGGGATGTGATGTGACATGCCAGAAACACAATGTCATTGAGGAGCTGGAGGAGCATTTGGTGCGCAAAAACAATCCCAGACGTTCGAAGCGCGCCTTTGGTCCCCTAACGCCATCATCGGAGCGTCCTCTGGTGCTGCCCGGCGGCAGGCGCTGGTATCGACCCAAGGATGCCTACAATGATGAATTCATTGCCGAAACTCTTAGCGCCCAGGCGGAGCTTATCACTGGCAGCACACTGGGGTGGGTACTCCGGCAGAAACTCTACAATTTTTGTACCTTGTGCTGTTCGCATTCCCAACTCTCTCACTCTCTCTCTCTCACGCTCACGCTCATTCTCAATCTCTGATCAGCGTCCGCATCCATCCGCACTGCAATTCACATTGCTTAATGCCGTATTGTGCCTCGGCTGGCATTGGCTTGGCCTTATTGCCATCATAATGCCATATTGCCATGGCCACCGCACTGGCTCAACCCCTTCCCCATTCCACGCCCCACCGCATCGACTCATCTGGCATATACTCTCACTCTCATCTCATATCTCGCCTCTCATCTCTCGTCTCTCGTCTCTCATTTTCCATGGCTCGCTTACATCAACGCACAATCGTCCGGATTCATAATTTTGCGCATTAGCAGCTGCTGCCCCTACGAGAGCCCGTTGCTCGGCTACGATGCCAGGTATTAGTTTGCTAGAGCATGGTGAGCTGGTGACAGCAATTCTATTCTGCATCCTCCCCCTCTCCCCCTCTGCAACTCATCCGTCCCTCACATCACACAGCCCGCATCCATCAGCTAGCACAAAAGGATGCACTTTCATTAACATTATCATATTGAACGATTGTCTGTCGCCATCTCTCTCACTCTCGCACTCGCTGTCTCACTCTGTTTAATTTCTGTGTGTGCTTGCCTTGGCTTGTAGTTGATTTGACTTTTCCAGTTTCAGTTGCAGTTGCAGTTCCTCTGGCATTCCAGTTCTTCTACTACTTTTGCATCTCTTTTGCTGTGCTTTGGCTTTAGTCCTTATATGCATGCTTACGTTTGCTTTCGTCTCGTCTCGTTTCTTTTGCAGATTGCATTTTGGAATCGCTTGTTCAATGGCGAGCACATAACACGCCAGCGCTTCAGGTAAGTTCCAGCTGCAACTTTCCTATGCAACTTTAACTCGCAACTTCGAATGCAACTTTCATTGTTAATAAGTCGAAGAGCCTCTGCTTGCATTCTGTCGGTCCGCCCTAGTCTTGTACTTAACCACTGGGGGCAATGCATTGGCTTCGATTTCGGTAACGACTACGTGTACGTTTACGTGGATACATTGGACAGAGGGGTGGACAAACGGGCATATTCGCTCTATAAATTGCCTGCACTTGTGGGTTAGCTAAGGAGCTGAATGAAAATATGTGTAGTCCCTGTATATCACAGTTTGACAGTCACTCATTTAGCATTAGAGTCAGAGTAACAGAGAAGAATTAACATTCTGCATACTCAGTTTGGCAACAGAGAAGAGTTAACATTCAGCAGCACAACTCCACAGATCAATCCATACATAGCCACGCCCCAAAAATCTACAGATCACAGTTTGACAATCACTGATTTAGCCTTAGAGTCTTTGTTAACAGAGAAGAGCTAACATGCTGCATACTCAAGCAGCTCAGCTCCACAGACCATGTCAAATATATAACAGCCCCCAACATCCACAAATTACAAATACAGTTTGACAGCCACTGCTTTAGCTTTACAGTCTTTGCCAACAGCCGAAAGCTGCCTTCATCAAGTTGCGAACAGAGCATTCAAGCAGTCGGCTATGGCCGTTTGCAACGCTTGTTTTTTTCTCGTTTCTGGTTACGTTTTTGCCTCGTTCTCGGTTCGATTCATCGGCCGCAGGGAGCTGCAGAGCCTCAGCGTGGCAAAGGCAGCACACAGGTTAGTTTGTCACATGGTTCATTGCATGGTCCCTGGCCACTGGCGAAGCTCTCTGGCTCAAGAGCTTCAACGTGACCAGCAGCACTTATTAAAATGCACATGCATGTCTGCCATTCCCCCCACTTTTCCTATGGCTTTTGCTCTCTCCCCCCTCGCCAGCTTTCTACTCAGTATGTTGTTTAAGCACTTTAGCTTTGATTTGACTTTTCGTAGGGTCAACTTCATGAAGTACCAAAAGCCGGAGCGCAAAATCGACCTCAATCGCAGCGAGGTATATAAAGTCATACATCATCTGGATCGTGCACCTGTCCGTGGCATTGAGGTGCGTGCACCACTCGTGGCAGCCGAATCGGATATACGCCAAGCGTTGCAGTCGTAGAATTCCCATTAAGCAGTTCTGTTCAACCAATGTAATAATATTCTAAGCAGCTCGACAAATATATAGAAAAACTATGAATATGTGCGGGCTTAAGTATTTGCTTGTTGTTGTTGTTGTTTTAGTTGTTGTTGCTGCTGTTGCTAATGTGTTATTACATAATTTGTTAGTGTGTGTGCGTGCGTGTTTGTGTTTGTGTGCAGCACGGCGTATGTGTAATATGCCAAGTGTCAAACGGCTGCGAATTGTTATGCATGTTGGCAGCCGCAGGGCGCTTGCTCTTGCAATTTTCTTTTGCATAAACACGCGACACCCACATACACTCTCTGTGTGGGTGTGTGGGTGTGTGTGTGACATGCTTTTGGAATTTGCATATGTTAAAGTAAATGAATTGGGCTGTAAACGAAATGAAACCAAATTGCAAAATGACAGCCAGCAGCACAATATAACAATAAACTCGTATTTATGTAGTTATGAGCACACACACCCTGACACACATGGTATATCAAGTTCAGATTTGAAATGGTTGCCACGTTATGCCGGGTCGAAGGTTGCGCACATTTCACTTGCCCTCGGTCACAGGCACGCATAAGTATGCGGATACTATGGTTATATTCGCGTTAACGCACACGGATACCAAATTATTAGCCATTTGTTTTTTGTGTTTTTGTTTTTCTTTTTTTTTTTATTTTCCTCTTTTTTTTTTTTTTTTCGCTTTTTTTTTTTTTTTTTGCTTCTTTGGCTTTCGTTAAAAGTCGTAAAAACGCGCCAAGTACGCGAAAGTTATGATTAGATTACGTTGCGGACTCGCACTTCACCCAGAACTCGGCGACGTGACTTTGATGGCGTCTCGTCCTGAACTGTCACTGTCACAATATGTTGGCATTTTGACTTCGCATTATCACTGAAGTTGGCGCTGGCGCCCAGTCCCCACACAACATGTTGGCATAGTCCTTTGAGTGGAGTTGAATTGCGTTCCACTCGAGTCTTGGGACAGCTTTCCATGTTGACCACATCGAGCTTTTCAACTGCAGCGAGCTTGAGTCGAACGTTGACGAGCTTTGACTGTGTTTTGTGCCAGGAGGAATCAGTAGCAGGCCAGCTTCAAGTCAAGCATGTTGGCTAGCTAAAGGGAAAGTATGTTTGAGAGCAGCATTATCATCGAAATAGGCGCAAGATATTACAATTAAAACTAATTAAAATCAATTAAAAATCATTGTAATATGCCTAAAAAATAGAATATATATATTATAATAAAATGTAATATTTCAAAAGTCCAAAGCATTCAGTTTGAGCTTAAAAATTCGAAAGGGTTTAAATAGGTATTTAAGAAACTTATTCACAACATCTGCCATGAGGATCAAATGTCTATTCTTCACTCTCTCTGTGCTAATACATTTATATGCTTCACTTTATTACTCCACTCAGTCTTTCGCTTACTCATATTAAATACTGAAAGGTAATTCCATCAAAGCCAATGACATTGATCGATAGCAACACCTAAACGAAAAATTGACCAATGATATTTGAGCTACAGACATGTATTAGCTCACTCAATTTTACACACACACTTAGCGAGCAAAGAGAGCAGCATCAGTTGAAGTATGAGCAATCCCATTTACTTATAATGGCGCATAAGCGATCAATGCACCAATGGCGTAGGAGCAGCAGCCATCATATTAGCTCTTCTCTTTGTCCCACACGCTCGTCTCGCGCTCTTCTCACATCAACAGGATCGTAAGCAAAGTTAGCTCCTTAAGTACAAACTATCTGTCTCACTCTACCCTTCACGTTTTATATGCTGACATTTGATTACCCATTTTCTGCACTTAAACGACATTTGATATGGTTTTATATTTTATTTTGAATTTGAATTAAACAAACTAGACAACAACTACTTAAGAGTAAGTATCGTACGAGTACAAGTACATGCAAGTTACATAAAAATAGGTTAAGTTCGTAATGCCAGTCGCACCGAACGGATATATGTGTATATATATGTATGTTTTAATTTAAATCGGATTACGACTAATAAGACAATAAGTATAGGTAATTCCAAAAAAAGGCAAAAACTTACAGCAGCTACGTCACAACGGGGCGTTCACTTTAGAAGTGTGCGCTAAGCGAAGTACGCAAATTTAGTTTTATATATATTTTTTCTCAATAAATTTCTATTCAATAAATTTAATATTTTTAAAACTTTTTATTTTTTAGATATATATATATTGTGTTGTTAAATCTGGTATTTTTGGGGATTTTTGTTTGTGTGTGTTTGACACTAATTATCACTACGCCAGTAGAAGCCAAATAGTTTGATTTTGTTTCTAAGAATGCTTCTTCGTGTTCATTGCTCTTTCGATGAGACTAAACCGAGTTTATTATTGTAAATATAGTTATCTATATACATATATATAGATATATATACGTGTGTATGTATGTATATGCAAATTTATTTATTGCTAATAATACGCGAGAAACGAGCAAATAATCAACGAGAATAAATCAAATATATGTGTATGTTTTCACTTTTCACTTTTCATTTTCATTTGTGTTCATGTCTATGTATGAGGCAAAGTTTTCGTCTTTGTTTTTCTTTCTTCTATTCTCATAAATAGTTTTTTGTTTTTTTTTTTTGTGTTTTTTTTTCGCTAAGCAAACATTTTGTCATAAGGCATAAATGCGGG